ACCCGCGCCCCCTGCATCGGCAGGCGGACTCCCACCCACCGAGCCACCAGGGAAGCCCCCCCCATATTGGCATTTTTGATGTGATTCCATGTAGTGCTATAAACCTTACTAAGAGTTCTAAGTGTACATTATTCAACTATTACCCAGTAATGTTCACAGCATTTTCCAGTATTTGAATATTCACTATAGGCTACAGTTCTTGTAAATACTACAAACTAACTAAAATTTTTAAAAGATATATAACTTTATTAGAGTTTGAAAAATATTGTAAGTGTTTAAAGAATAACTTGAGATTTGGGGAATTCCTGAGAATTCCACTTCCTCGTTTGTGAATCCTGGAGGTTAATATATGTCAGGAGTTCAGAAACACTAGTACAAAGAGGTCAAATTTGTGCCTAGAATTTCAGTAACTCATGTGGGTTTGAGTTTTCAGCAGCAGTTCCATGAAGGGCCAGAAGGTGGCGGTGGTGCTTCATGCAAGTATCTGGTTTATTCTCTAAACAGTTAAATATCACTCTTGACTCTTGAGAGCAGGAATGTTTTTTCCTTTGCTTAGTAAGGAAATTTCAGAAGCGTCCACACATCCAGCCTGTCTTCAAAATATTTAAGGGAGAAATAGTACTACACAAACTCTTATTGAAAACAGAAGAGAGGGAATTCACCAGTAAAGCCATCTGGGGCTACAGTTTTCTTTGTTGATCTTTTTTTTTTTCCCCCTTAAAATTTATTTATTTATTTTTGGCTGCGTTGGGTCTTCGTTGCTGCGAGCGGTCTTTCTCTCTAGTTGTGGCGAGCGGGGGCTACTCTTCGTTGTGGTGCATGGGCTTCTCATTGCAGTGGCTTCTTTTGTTGCAGATTACGGGCTCTAGGCGCACGGGCTTCAGTAGTTGTGGCTCACGGGCTCTAGAGCGCAGGCTCAGTAGTTGTGGCGCACGGGCTTAGTTGCTCCGCGGCATGTGGGATGTTCCCAGACCAGGGCACAAACCTGTCCCCTGCGTTGGCAGGCCGATTCTTAACCACTGCGCCACCTGGGAAGTCCCAGGGAAGTCCCTGTTGATAGTTTTTTAAGCTACAAATTCTGTTTCTTTAATACTTAAAATACCTATTCAGGTTATTTTTACCTGAATGAATTTTGGTAGTTTGTGTCTATCAAAGAATTTGTCCATTTCATCAGTGTTCTTGATTTCAAGAGCATAAAGTTTTTTATACTGTTCCCTTATTACCCTTTTAATGTCTGTAGAATCTCTAGTGATGTCCCCTCTTTTATTCCTTTTTTTTACTCTCTTTTGTCTTGGTCTGCCTAGAAGCTTTTCAGTTTTATTGGCGTTTTCAAACAACTCTTGTTTCAATGATTTTTCTTTTGTTTTCCTGCTAATTTAATTTCTGTTCTTTATTTCCTTTTACCCAAGTTTATTTACTCTTTTTTTTTCTAGTTTCTTAAAGTAAATGCTTAGACCATTACTTTGAGGCCTTTTTCTCTTCTAATATAAGCATTTGATGCTGGAACTTTATCTTTAAGCACTGCTCTAGCCGCATCCCCAAACTTTTGATATGTTGTACTTTTATTTCCATTCAATTGAGAATGTTTTTCATTAATTATGGAGAATTCTTGGCCATTTTCTCTTAGTATATTGTCTCTCCTTTGCTGTCTTTATGGCTGTCTAGTTGACACAGTTTGAACCATTCCTTTTTTATCCCTGTGTTTCTTAACCTCTTTTTTATAATGGCAATCTCATTGTTCTTAAAAACTCTGGTTAATTTTCTCAGTTCTGTCTTTAAGTTTTTCAACCTTGCCTAAATTCATCTATTAATAGTTTAATTTTAATGACTATATCTGAAAAGTCTAGTAATTAAAAAAAATCTGTCCTTTTCCACATTAAACAGAATTTTGTACTCTATTTTGTGAAAAAATTCGTGGTATTGTCCTTCTATTTGTATATCTGCTGACTCTTACTTCAAGTAGATTGTCTGCCTTGTTTGTAAATTTTGATTGGAACATAACTTTTTGAGACTTTTTCTACCCCTTGTGAGAATCATCCCCTCCACCCCCCGCCACTATAATTGTTGTGACCTGGACTGTGGAAGCTTCCCACCAGAGAGGTCTTTTAAATATGTTTCAAGACTATTCATGAGCATTTTTATATCTGCTTTAGTCTGTGTTAGATAATTTCAACATTATCTCTGTCATCTCAGCACTGATTTTCGTTCTTGTCTTTACCTGGTTTTTCATACAGTGAAGCAATTTTGGATTGTATCCTGGACATTTTTAATATGATTTTATGAGACTCTGGGTCTTGTTTAAATCTGCCAATTTGTTGGTACTTCAAATTCTTGTCTACTCCAATATGCCTGTCCCTATTTACTTTTCAGAATCCTCAAGTAGCCACTTCATGCATTCTGTCTAGGTTTTATAGCTACATTCAGTGGGAAAGATGGGGTGGAGTGTGCTTGCTTCATCTTACCTAGAACCTTCCCTCTAGAGGAATAAATTGCTTTATTCGGATCACACTAGCTCCTGACCAGTTTCTATGTTACTTTCCTAAGATTTGAACCTCAACCTTAATCCCAAACTTAAATGATGCACACAGGCCTTAGTTTGAATCCTGAGGTGAGCTGAGCCCAGAAACAAGACAAAATTCCCTGCTGTCTTCCTGTGACAGTAGACAGAATTATTTAGTTTATTCTTTCAGTAAGAGTTTTAGCTTTTTGCAGGGAGTGCAGTTTTAGTCTCACTTTCAACTTCCTTTCTATGGTGGATCCAGAGGTTTTTTTCCTATCCCCAACAGAGTATTAAAGACTTCCGCATCAAGCTCTCTGGGGCAACTGCATCTACCCCACTAGTTTTCCATATCCTTTTTGTCTCTATACCTATGGATTTCCATTCGTTCTTTTAAATATAGCTGTTCATTAAAATTTTTAAGTTTATATTTTATCTAGCATTTATAAGGGTTTGTAGCAGAAAGATTTTCAGATTTTCTTGATCACTGTCTTGTTGAAACAGAAGTACTTTCTGTACTATAAAAATTCTATAGAACTTTTCTTTTAAAAACCTACTCATATGCAAAAAACAAAATTGGAGGCCCAAATGGGATAGTAACTCATTTATTGCTAAAATTAGTGGAATTTTTTTATACACACAGCTAAATATAAGTGTAAATATGTATTTGTATTTATGAGTGTTTATATTTATATATGTTTTAGGCTAGAAACTGTTGAATCAGGATTAAAAGAGCTGTTATCTCTTATGACTCTTTAGGGGGGAGAAAAACCTATGTTTGCCTTGGAAAAAGTGTTCTCAGTATAATGAAATTAATACTGCCTTCAAATTCTAACTTTTCAGGTACTGTAGAAAGGGCAGTTTTAATTTTTGAGGACGAAAATAAATACTGCTCTAAATAACTAAAGAGAACTTAGGTTTGTGTGGTTACTTTTTTCTTTGTTTTGTTTGCTTGGTATCTTCTGTTTTCTTGGCATTCAGTGTGAAATTCACTAGGAATCTCAATTTATGATAGGGAGATTGCCTTTTTCTTGCAGTGGTTACTTGTCAGAAACACGTTCTCTGCTTCTTTCCTGCCAGGAATGAGTAGCGACAGTGATATTGAATGTGACGCTGAGGACGAGGAGCAGGAGGAGCGCGCCAGCCTGGGCAGATTTAGCGACTCCTTCATGGCACGGCTGCCGGATGAAGGTGCAACCCATGACGTCATTTCATGGGGATTAATTAAACCATCTCTTCTGCTGCTTCCTTTGCTTCTCTTTCTGCTTCTGCTTCTTCTGCTTTGCTGCTTCTGCTGCTTTTTCTTTTTTTAAATTATTGTCATTTGTGAGACGACATTCTGTGGGATAAACTAAATGGTGCGCGTACTGAAAAAATTTGGTAGGCGGTCAGACACCACCTAATGCGTGCTACTTACTGGGTGGAGCAAGTGTTGGCAACCTGCTTTGGTACAGCCCATGACCTGAGAATGGAAAAAAAAAGCCAAACAAAAAAGAATTTTCCATGGAGAACATTTGTGGCCTGCAGTGCCTAAATATTTACTATCTGCTCCTTTGTAGAAAATGTTGCCAGCCCCTGGGGAGGTTTCAGATTTTTTTTTTTTTCTTTTCAGAGATATTTGTAGCCTAGCTAATAAGGGAACTTTTTTAAAGATAACTCTTTCTGACTTCTTAGAAATGCATGCTGATTATGGATCATTGATTTTATTACCACTTCCTCCTAAAAAAGTCTCAGGAAAAAACTCACTGAGAGAAACCCATTGTTAGCATTTTGTTTTGTTTTATTTTAGGTGTACAGCATAATGATTTGATATATGTATACAGTGCAAAATGATCACCACAATAAGTCTAACGTCCATCCCCCATTGTTAATATTTTATCCAGAGACCTTAACGATCAGTCTGAGCATTCCTCTGTAAGAGTTCCTGGAATAACAACATTGTCAGGCTTATGCTAATTGTCGGCTTTATATTTTACATGTTTCTCTGATATTCTAGTGTCTTTTTTAGTATAGACTCAGTCACTTGATGATTTTTTAGGTATTAAGGTACTCTTAGCAATCTTCTCTGCTTATAGAAGCAGCAGCCAAATTTCAGGCAAGTTATCTTGAGTGCCGATGAGTTTTTGTAGTGATATTTGCATGCGCAGTTTAATTGGCTTTGAAATACATTTTATATTTACAAAATCAGTCTTTAGAGTGTACATCGTCATCGTTTCCTATTCCCTTCTTTAGCTGCTCCCATAGTGTCCCCAGGGCGACAAAGTCAGGCAATGCCTTTCAACCTCTAATTGTGGGCGTCTATTACACATTTTGGTTTTTTCTCCTTTATTTTCCCTTTGTGTTTGTTACACTTGACTCAGATCAAAAATTCTCTAAAAATAGAGATTTGTTCACAACCCAGCACATCTTTATCACTTAAATAACACACTTGGTAAGATCGTTTCGAGATAAGGAAAAGAAAATACTGGTCTTTTAAAAATGTTAGCTCTTTTTTTTCTCCTAGATACACGTTCCAGTTTTCCTGATGGTGAACAAATAGGCCCTGAAGATCTCAGCTTCAATACTGATGAAAGCAGTGGAAGGTAATTTTCAAATCAAGAAAACTGACTTGCAAGCTACCTTGAATTTTGCTGTAGTTGGTGCTCAAACTTGTCAACAGTCAGATAATCAGATTTGGTCTTATTTTTTTCATCATCTCTACTTGAAATAGTAATTCTGAAACTTTAGAAAGTAGCACAATTCTAGTGTAAGACATTAGTACACAGGAAAAAGTTGTGGGGGAAGAATTCTGTGTAATGTAATAAAATAACAGTGTAGCCTCAATTAATTTAGTAAATAGTATATTCATAAAAGGCAGTTTGTCTACTGTAACAGAAGGGCAATTAACTGCCAGGAAACGTACCTGGAGACAGTGCATGCACTCAGTAACCTGCTCAGCATCGGTGCTCTTCTGTCTTGGCTAGACACTCAGTTGTGTTTAAATGACCACCTTTATATTTTGGGTTTTAATTATAGTTTATAGTTTCACTAGTGCCTATAGATTAGTGAGCAGAAATATTACTAATGTGTAGATTCTTCCCTGTAGACACTTTATGTGGATAACTGAAGTAACACTAGACTGAATCTCCTCTTTAGAATATGTTGACTGACTGAGGTTAATTTATTTATCTTTTCTTGTTTGTTCAAGTGCAGGCACACTAATTAATGACACCTAAGCTTTCTTTTGTGTGACCTTTACAAATGTAATTTTAAATGAATTAAGTTAATATGGATTGGTTATGTTTCTGGTCGTATGAACACATGTAAGAACACTTAAAATTATTTCGTTTTTTCTGCTTCTTACTAAACAGTTATAATGTAACGGGTATTTTAAAACCCTGTTTTCTCCTTTATTTTCATTAGTTGGACATTGATTTCAGTGTCAATACATTTAAAGATTCTTATATATTGTACTGTGGCTTACATGAAACTGTGGTATAAAGTTTACTTTCATACTCAGAAATAGTCCAAAATAATTGCCAAACTTTATCATTGTGCTCTTGCATTTGTTTTTGAGCTGCTATGCTATTTGTGAAAATTACACTGAAAGTTGACTAAGAGACTATTGAAAAAGCATGAATATATACACGTGAGAGGCATCTCATCTGCTTATTTTTTACTTAATGAATATTGTTCCCCTTTCCATGTCTAGTGTCTTGCCGAATGCTGTGTGATTCATGGTTTGCTTTTCTTCAAAACAGTTGGCACTTTTTGTTAATAAAATGATGCTGAGAAAATGTTATGCCTCTGCAATTTATTAAAAGTGGAGCAGGAAGCCCCCCTTTTTCCTATTCCTATTGCCTGTGTATAATAGAGGCTGTTGAGCTGTAAGTAGATGCATGGGGAAGTTGGAAGACTTATTTAAGATCTCCATAATGTGTAATGTGTGGTTACTTCTTCTCCTTAAATTAGTTGGAAATATTTAAGTAGTATAATCACATGAGAAGTTAAAATTTAGCGTTTGCTTACTACCATGATAGCATTGGCTTGCTGTCGTATAGTTATTAGGTAGCTTATTGTGCAATGCTCTGAAACATTACTGGTAAGTTCTTCACATTTCATTTTCTATTAGCTGGAAATGTATTTATGTTCATTACATTTTGATGAGATCATATTCTAAATCAAACTTATTTCTGTGCTACATTGTAATGGGTAAAACTATAATGTAAGAATTTTGCACCTTTAGTGTTGAGCAAATCATTGTAAGAACTGATTTTGTAGAGGTTTATTTTTTAATTGAGGCTTATCAGAATTCATAAAGACAAGAGTGATTGACTCTGCTTTGGAACTCTCACTATTGCGTAGCTGTTTCTTGACCTGTATATGATATAGAACTGAGTGCTTTCCAGTGTACCTTTATAACTTATTTTCAAAATATGGAAAACCACTGTGGTTAAGAACTAAGAGAAGCCAGAGAATAGACTGTTCATTTGGGGAAATTTACTTGTAAGAGCTTTTAGCACAAGTGATTTAATCGTGAGATTCTTTTGGGTCATTAATCTAGACAATAACTTTTTTTTTTTGAATTTTATTTTATTTTTTTATACAGCAGGTTCTTATTAGTCATCCGTTTCATACACATCAGTGTATACATATCAATCCCAATCTCCCAATTCATCACACCACCACCACCAGCACCCCGCTGCTTTCCCCCCTTGGTGTCTGTACATTTGTTCTCTACATCTGTGTCTCAATTTCTGCCCTGCAAACCAGTTCATCTGTACCATTTTTCTAGGTTCCACATATATGCATTAATATACGATATTTGTTTTTCTCTTTCTAACTGACTTCACTCTGTATGACAGTCTCTAGATCCATCCATGTCTCTACAAATGATCCAATTTCATGCCTTTTTGTGGCTGAGTAATATTCCATTGTATATATGTACTACATTGTCTTTATCCATTCGTCTGTTGATGGGCATTTAGGTTGCTTCCACAACCTAGCTATTGTAAATAGTGCTGCAGTGAACATTGGGGTGGGTTCATGTGTCTTTTTGAATTATGGTTTTCTCTGGGTATATGCCCAGTAGTGGGATTGCTGGGTCATATGGTAGATCTATTTTTAGTTTTTTAAGGAACCTCCGTACTGTTCTCCATAGTGGCTGTATCAATTTACATTCCCACCAACAGTGCAAGAGGGTTCCCTTTTCTCCACACCCTCTCCAGCATTTGTTGTTTGTAGATTTTCTGTTGATGCCCATTCTAACTGGTGTGAGGTGATACCTCATTGAAGTTTTGATTTGCATTTCTCTAATAATTAGTGATGTTGAGCAGCTTTTCATGTGCTTCTTGGCCATCGTTACGTCTTCTTTGGAGAAATGTCTATTTAGGTCTTCTGCCCAGTTTTGGATTGGGTTGTTTATTTTTTTGATGTTAAGCCACATGAGCTGCTTGTATATTTTAGAGATTAATCCTTTGTCTGTTGCTTCATTTGCAAATATTTTCTCCCATTCTGAGGGTTGTCTTTTCGTCTTGTTTATGGTTTCCTTTGCTGTGCAAAAGTTTGAAGTTTCATTAGGTCCCATTTGTTTATTTTTGTTTTTATTTTCATTACTCTAGGAGGTGGATCAAAAAGGATCTTGCTGTGATTTATGTCAAAGAGTGTTCTTCCTATGTTTTCCTCTAAGAGTTTTATAGTGTCTGGTCTTACATTTAGGTCTCTAATCCATTTTGAGTTTATTTTTGTATATGGTGTTAGGGAGTGTTCTAATACATGTAGCTGTCCAGTTTTCCCAGCACCACTTATTGAAGAGACTGTCTTTTCTCCATTGTATATCCTTGCCTCCTTTGTCATAGATTAGTTGACCATAGGTGTGTGGGTTTATCTCTGGGCTTTCTATCTTGTTGCATTGATCTGTGTTTCTGTTTTTGTGCCAGTACCATATTGTCTTGATTACTGTAGCTTGGTAGTATAGTCTGAAGTCAGGGAGTCTGATTCCTCCAGCTCCATTTTTTTCCCTCAAGACTGCTTTGGCTATTTGGGGTCTTTTGTGTCTCCATACAAATTTTAAGATTTTTTGTTCTAGCTCTGTGAAAGATGCCATTGGTAATTTGATAGGGATTGCACTGAATCTGTAGATTGCTTTGGGCAGTATAGTCATTTTCACAATATTGATTCTTCCAATCTAAGAACATGGTATATCTCTCCATCTGTTGGTATCATCTTTAATTTCTTTCATCAGTATTTTATACCTTTCTGCATACAGGTCTTTTGTCTCCCTAGGTAGGTTTATTCCTAGGTATTTTATTCTTTTTGTTGCAATGGTAAATGGGAGTGTCTGCTTAATTTTTCTTTCAGATTTTTCATCGTTAGTGTATAGAAATGCAAGAGATTTCTGTGCATTAATTTTGTATCCTGCAACTTTACCAAATTCATTGATTAGCTCTAGTAGTTTTCTGATGGCATCTTTAGGATTCTTTATATATAGTATCATGTCATCTGCAAATAGTGACAATTTTACTTATTCTTTTCCAATTCGTATTTGTTTTATTTCTTTTTCTTCTCTGATTGCCATGGCTAGGACTTCCAAAACTTTGTTGAATAATAGTGGTGAGAGTGGACCTTCTTGTCTTGTTCCTGATCTTAGCGGAAATGCTTTCAGTTTTTCACCCTTGAGAATGATTTTTGCTGTGGATTTGTCATATATGGCCTTTATTATGTTGAGGTAGGTTCCCTCTATGCGCACTTTCTGGAGAGTTTTTAATCATAAATGGGTGTTGAATTTTGTCAAAGGCTTTTTCTGCATCTATTGAGATGATCATATGGTTTTTATTCTTCAGTTTGTATCACATTGATTGATTTACGTATATTGAAGAATCCTTGCATCCCTGGGATAAATCCCACTTGATCATGGTGTATGATCCTTTTAATGTGTTGTTGGATTCTGTTTGTTAGTATTTTGTTAAGGATTTTTGCATCTATATTCATCAGTGATATTAGTCTGTAATTTTCTTTTTTTGTAGTATCTTTGTCTGGTTTTGGTATCAAGGTGATGGTGGCCTTATAGAATGAGTTTGGGAGTGTTCCTTCCTCTGCAATTTTTTGGAAGAGTTTGAGAAGGATGGATGTTAGCTCTTCTCTAAATGTTCGATAGAATTCACCAGTGAAGCCATCTGGTCCTAGACGTTTGTTTGTTGGAAGATTTTTAATCACAGTTTCAATTTCATTACTTGTGATTGGTCTGTTCCTATTTTCTATTTCTTCCTGGTTCAGTCTCAGAAGGTTGTGCATTCCTAAGGATTTGTCCATTTCTTCCAGGTTGTCCATTTTATTGGCATAGAGTTGCTTGTAGTCGTCTCTTATGATGCTTTGTATTTCTATGGTGTCTGTTGTAAATTTTCCTTTTTCATTTCTAATTTTATTGATTTGAGTCCTCTCCGTCTTTTTCTTGATGAGTCTGGCTAATGGTTTATCAATTTTGTTTATCTTCTCAAAGAGCCAGCTTTTAGTTTTATTGATCCTTGCTATTGTTTTCTTTGTTTGTATTTCATTTATTTCTGCTCTGATCTTTATGATTTCTATCCTTCTGCTAACTTTGAGTGTTGTTTGTTCTTCTTTCTCTAGTTCCTTTAGGTGTAAGGTTAGATTGTTTATTTGAGATTTTTCTTGTTTCTTGAGGTAGGCTTGTATAGCTATAAACTTCCCTCTTAGAACTGCTTTTGCCGCATCCCATAGGTTTTGGATCATCGTGTTTTCATTGTCTTTTGTCTCTAGGTATTTTTTGATTTCCTCTTTGATTTCTTCAGTGATTTCTTGGTTACTTAGTAACGTATTGTTTAGCCTCCATGTGTTTGTGTTTTTTACGTTATTTTCCCTGTAATTGATTTCTAACCTCATAGCATTGTGATCAGAAAAGATGCTTGATATGATTTCAATTTTCTTAAATTTATTGAGGCTTGATTTGTGACCCAAGATGTGATCTATCCTGGAGAATGTTCCGTGCACACTTGAGAAGAAAGTGTAATCTGCAGTTTTGGGATGGAATGTGCTATAAATATCAATTAACTGTATCTGGTCTATTGTGTCATTTAACGCTTGTCTTTCCTTATTAATTTTCTGCTTGGATGATCTGTCCATTGGTGTAAGTGAGGTGTTAAAGTCCCCCACTATTCTTGTGTTACTGTCGATTTCCTCTTTTATAGCTGTTAGCAGTTGCCTTATGTATTGAGGTGCTTCTATGTTGGGTGCATCTATATTTATAATTGTTATATCATCTTCTTGGATTGATCCCTTGATCATTATGTGGTGTCCTTCCTTGTCTCTTGTAACATTCTTTATTTTAAAGTCTATTTTATCTGATATGAGTATTGCTACTCCAGCTTTCTTCTGATTTCCATTTGCATGGAATATCTTTTCCATCCCCTCACTTTCAGTCTGTATGTGTCCCTAGGTCTGAAGTGGGTCTCTTGTAGACAGCACATATATAGGTCTTGTTTTTGTATCCATTCAGCAAGCCTGTGTCTTTTGGTTGAAGCATTTAATCCATTCACATTTAAGATAATAATCGATATGTATGTTCATATTACCATTTTCTTAATTGTTTTGGGTTTATTTTTGTAGATCCTTTTCTTCTCTTGTGTTTCCCACTTAGAGAAGTTCCTTTAGCATTTGTTGTAGAGCTGGTTTGGTGGTGCTGAATTGTCTTAGCTTTTGCTTGTCTGTAAAGCTTTTGATTTCTCCATTAAATCTGAATGAGATTCTTGCTGGGTAGAGTAATTTTGGTTGTAGGTTCTTC